AATATGCTCATGTATGAAAATTCTATGTAACTGTATTTGTGTATACCTGAATAAACTTACTTACTTACTTACTTAGAGTTGTCAGGAAGTGGAATAGTCTAGCAAGTGGAGGCAGGAACCATACATAGCTTTAAGATGAGGTATGATAAAGCTCATGGAGCAGGGAGAGCGAGGACCTAGTAGCACTCAGTGAAGAGGCGGGGCCAGGAGCTGAGGCTCGACCCCTGCAACTACAATCAGGTGAAAAGACGAGAGTAAAGAATCAGGTATCTGACTGAAGACGGTAGCGGGCGAGATCACAATGCCTAGGAAGTCTGTGTAGTGTTCGCCAAACGATTTGAAGAGGATTTATCAGTGGAAACAAGGGGAAATAACCAGAGAGACAAGGGGACAGGATGTACAGACAACTACTGAATGCCATCCACATAACAGGGAAAGAGGTAAAATAAAATAACTCTTGATGGACCTGGATACACCAAAGGCAATGGAAACTGACAGAGATTCTGAGATAGGGAGCAGAAGCACTGTTCGAATCACTAGCTAAGACCTAATTTAAGTCAGTGGATACCGGACACTTGCTACACATCTGAAAGATAACGAGATTAGATTTTGCCACCGAAGTGGCTAGTTTATTGTACACACCATATCCATCCTGTGGACGGTAATGCAAGAGCATATGGATACACAAAAGGCCTAGGAACTAGGCCTCAAAACGGATAAGAGATAAGAGATAACAGGTGTACATACAGATTTATATGAAAGTAGTCCCTATATCTAAGAAAGGGGACAGACAGGAGGCACTGAACTACACACCAGTGTCTTTAACATGCATATGTACTGAGCTTAGAGGGTAATGAATAAAATTATCAGGGGATAAGTGGCAAAACACAAGAATTAAGCATAGACTATTATGTCTGACTTAGTGTGTAGTTAACTACAATCATAAGTACAATAAGATTGATAATGCCAAAATGGTCAGTTACAAAAGAATTTCATGTTATTTAAACTGACTCAGTGTTCAGGTTTATGGCGGAATTGAAATGGCGAAGATAGAGCAAGTTACTTAAATTATAATAGTGGAAAAGACTTAAATTACAATACAAATCCTATGGAATAATATATGTTGACAATTTTAAATGGAAGTGAAGGAAGGCTGATGGAACAGGGACATAACTGGATTAAGACAGGTATTGCTGGACGAGGTTACTGTTACACTAACGAGATGAGATGCTTTTTAACAATGGTTCTGAAGCGACTGGTAGAAAGAAGACCTTTAGTAACTTCAGGCTAGGAGCTTCAGAGATAGGAGCTGTGAATCGACCCCTGCAACCACATATAGGTAAGTACATAGATATAATATCCACCTTGTGTGGAACATTATAAGGAATTATTTATTGACTAATTCACACCAGCCCTTAATAAATATTTATCTGAATTTCTCTCTAAAGTACCAAGGCAAAAAACTTGATATATAGAAATTCGGACAGATTACGTAGACCTATATTTAGGCCTGTAGGAGCTTAACAGCTGATGAGTAAACTAACTGTCCTAATGGTGAACCTTTCATCATTTTCCCAAAATACAACCCAGAGCATTTTTCCACTTCTTTAACATATTCCCCCCAAATAAAATACTTTACATATTACTTTATAATCATAGAGTAACTCTGAATATATTGCAAATAAAGTGATATGGTGGAGTAATTTAAACCAAAGTCAGAGTCGAGGTGTCGGGACAGTGTGACAACAATGGCCGACGGGGAGACACTTGCTCCACATAACAAACATTTTCCAGACCAGTTGGGATGTAAACATTACAAGCGGAAATGTAAATTAGTGGTGAGTTTGTCTTGTCGGTTAAGACAAGCTGGGTAGAGTGTGTGCTGGATAACTGGAAGATGGTGAACTGTGTGGGTGTATGGAGTCAGGCTTCCCTGGCCTTGACTCCGCTTCATGGGCCACATCATGGCCACCGTGGGCCACATCATAGGCTTTGTGGGTCACATCATAGGTTTTATGGGTCATATGGCCACCATGGGCCATATGGCCGCCATGGCCACCATGGGTCATATGGCCGCCATGGCCACCATGGGTCATATGGCCGCCATGGCCACCATGGGTCATATGGCCGCCATGGCCACCATGGGTCATATGGCCACCATGGGTCATATGGCCGCCATGGCCGCCATGGCCACCATGGGTCATATGGCCACCATGGGTCATATGGCCACCATGGGTCATATGGCCACCATGGGTCATATGGCCACCATGGGTCATATGGCCGCCATGGCCACCATGGGTCATATGGCCGCCATGGCCACCATGGGTCATATGGCCGCCATGGCCACCATGGGTCATATGGCCACCAGGGGTCATATGGCCGCCATGGCCACCAGGGGTCATATGGCCGCCATGGGTCATATGGCCGCCATGGCCATGGGTCATATGGCCACCATGGGTCATGTGGCCACCATGGGTCATGTGGCCACCATGGGTCATGTGGCCACCATGGGTCATGTGGCCACCATGGGTCATGTGGCCACCATGTGGCCGCCATATGGCCACCATGGGTCATGTGGCCGCCATATGGCCACCATGGGTCATGTGGCCGTCGTATGGCCACCATGGGTCATGTGGCCGCCATATGGCCACCATGGGTCATGTGGCCGCCGTATGGCCACCATGGGTCATGTGGCCGCCGTATGGCCACCATGGGTCATGTGGCCGCCATATGGCCACCATGGGTCATGTGGCTGCCATATGGCCACCATGGGTCATGTGGCTGCCATATGGCCACCATGGGTCATGTGGCCGCCATGTTCTTCCTGCCTATGTGAGAGACGCCTCGTATGATATTTTTTCCAACGTAGAGATAAATACATACAGATTTTTGTGTTAACTAGTTTCGAAATAAAATAGCTTAAAATATTTTATTTACAGAGTCCCTGCTGTAGCACCAATTACATATGCCGGTTCTGTCATAATGCCAATGAAAATCACCCACTGGAGCGAGACAACATATCGGAGGTAGAATGCATGTTATGCCAGACGAAGCAACCGTTGAGCCAGACGTGCAGTAATGAAAATTGTGGTGTAATGTTTGGGAATGTAAGTACTTTTCCTCTGGATTTAATATGTGTTCAAATAATTTTCTTTATACTGCATTTGCCAGTTCTTGCCAAGTCAGGATAATGTAATGAGATTTATTAAACTTGTAGATATATTTCTATTCACCATAAGGAAACTGGGGCATCATCCTCCGTAAGAGTACTGTAACCTTAGACACTGGTAAAGCACTCACATCCAGTAATGACTAGCCCTACAAGGGCCTTAAGGCTGGTGAAACTCTTGATTTGAGGAATTAGAGCTACTCCTACCTTGGATCAAACCTGAGAACTTTTCATTTCCTAGGTGCAATAAAGGTTTAGTGCTTCATCATAAATAAAATACAGTAGTACCCCCCGTATCCAAAGGGAAAACACTCCAAGACCTATCATGGATACCCAAAACCACAGATAGTAGTAAACCCTATTATGTCGTTTTTCGTTTACATACTTGCCTATGATGGTTTGATAAATTATGCTCAGCCATGAATTAGCACTTCACAGCTTCTCTTAGGCTTTGAAGAACTGTCATCATCACAACTTTTGTGCTTTGGGTTCATTATTAAGCAAAATTAGGGGTTATTTTCAAGCCACAGTAAACCATGGATAACTGAAACTGCAGAAACCAAATTCGTGGATATGGGGGGTTCTACTGTATTGTATAACGCCACAATTTCGCTTTTTCTTCATAAATGTTTTACATTTTCTCTTAATATGCATTGATATTAGATGACCTAGATTTTATAATACTGTTTGTTTTTTATTTTACCAGTACTTTTGTCGGCTGTGTAAACTTTACGATGACGAGGACAAAGATCAGTACCATTGTGATGGTTGTGGTTTGTGTCGCGTGGGCGGCCGAGACAAGTATTTCCACTGTGACACCTGTGAACTGTGTCTCCCCAGGGATATCAAGAATAGTCATAAGGTTAGTGTTTGATGGTAATGCATTGTGTGTTTCAGTGCACCCATAGTAAGTCAAAAAATATCGTAAGTTGAAAAGGAATATATGTACAGTGGACCCCCGGTTAACGATATTTTTTCACTCCAGAAGTATGTTCAGGTTCCAGTACTGACCGAATTTGTTCCCATAAGGAATATTGTGAAGTAGATTAGTCCATTTCAGACCCCTAAACATACACGTACAAACGCACTTACATAAATACACTTACATTATTGGTCGCATTCGGAGGTGATCGTTATGCGGGGGTCCACTGTATTCTAAATAAGTAAATAACTGTCACTTAATAACTAAACAGATAATTACTGTAACTAAATACCAGTATTGAATAGTAAATAAATGAATACAAGTTAGGAACTTGCCGCTATTGCTGGGTAATTATCTTAAGTTTCATCTCTAAAGTAACTGCTTTTGCAGCCTCATAAAGTCAAAATATTGTAAGTTGAACTATTGTAAATAGACGAGCACCTGTACTGGGCTTAATACGAGGCCAAAAAAATATGGCATTCATTCCAATTTCTCTTATCACCTCCATTTGTGCCACTGACCAGTTTTTATTATGACTTGTACGTGGACCACCCCGGCCTTATTGATATTATTTCATTCCAGAAGTATGTTCGGTGCCATTACTGAACGAATTTGTTCCCATAAAGAATATTGTGAATTGGATTAGTCCATTTTAGACCCCTAAACATACCCTACAAATGCACATTACATAAATACACTTACATTATTGGTTCGCATTGGGGACTGATCGTAAACCGGGGGTCCAACTGTATTTGGGTGTAAAATATACATACATTTTGATTTACTGCCTTCATTTTCAGTGTATTGAAAAAATGAGCAAAACCAACTGCCCGTTTGCTAGAAGATATCCTCACACAAGGATTGTGTCCACATGTTCCCCTTGTGGACATCTCAAACATCGACGCATGCTTTCACGATCTCATTTAAAAGCGGATTCTACGCTTGTCCGACCATGCGGGCACATACCCATGATTAAAAATGAAAGAGGTATGTATATTTTTGCATGGCAAAGGCATTTGGTCATTAGTATTGTAGAAATGGTCATAATGAGTAAGCTTTTTCTGTGAAAGTATTTCCTTCTGTTAGACTTTATTGAGCCCTTGGACACAAAATTAATTGAATTAATCTTATACTGAAATGTATAACTTCACCGCTCGTATGCACTGATAGACTAAAAACAGGTACTCTTACAAAAATGGAAGAGGGGTCCTGATGTTGATCCAAGGCTTTTAATCAAAAGGCAATGGAGTTACCTTCTTGGATTTAATTGATACAATCGGTTCCACCCATTTCGTAGGTGCTGTATGACCCTTAGGGTTCAGCAATACTTATTGAATTTATTGATAATGAATGTTTCAATATTTGGAAGTAGACTGTTGGAGGATGGGTCCTATAAAGAATAAGGTGAACCATAGAATTGAAGAGAGGGGCAGTAGGAAGGTGGGTGGGCATTGAAGCAATCTGTGGAAACTGAACATAATCATTGGAAGGCAAGAGAGGAATGTGTGAGAGTACAGTGGTACACACTCTTATATGAGTGTGAAGATGGTTGTGATGTTTTCACTAAGGAGCTGGAGCAGTGGTGATGTGTCCGAGGGCATTGTGTAATGTAAATTTTATTCAGAGAATTAGTAACTTAGCGATTAAGAAGAGGTGCAGTATTAGTAAAAGTGTTATCCAGAGAGAGTATGGAATTGTTGTGGTGGTTTGTACATTAGAGGGGATGAGCAGAATAGGGAAACTTGGAGGGTGTATAAATCCTGGGATGCAGGGAAGAAGGGTAGGGGTCAGCCTAGGAAAGGTTGGAGGGAGGGGATAAAGGAGGTTTTGTGAGCGAGGTGCCTTGGACATCAAAAAACAGGCGTTGAGCATGTTACGTAGGAGCGAGTGGAGTCCGTATGGGTGTTTTGGGCTTGAACAAGCAGTTGGAGGTGAGCTAGGTAACATTATGAAGGGATATAGGGAAACTGGTTAGCCAGAGTTGAAGTCCTGGAGATGGAAAGTACAGTGCCTGACTCTGAAGGTGTGGATATTTGGAGTTTGGAGGAGCATCTGATTGTTGTATTGTTGTGCCTTTGGCAAGACAGTGATAGTGAGTGAATGGCCGAAAGTGTCCCTTTTTCCTGGTCAATCTGCCTCAGTGGGAGACCGCCAGCATGTTTAAAAACAAAAATATAAACAATAGCACAGCTAATGTTTTGTAAAGAGACATGCGCGGGAAACTGTTTATCCCTTATAACGTTGCTCGTTCTTACAGCTTATGGAAGTCACTAGGAACGAGAGATAGATGAAACTCCAATGCCAAGCGAAAAAAAAATATGCTGATCTCTACTGCAATTGTTCTCTGTCGGGATTGCACAAGGTATTTGCATTCTACATTGTCACGTAAAAGTATCAAGATAAGCTATAATTTGTCTTTTGATATATTTTAACTAAATGAACTCTCCTGTTTGATTAATATTCAAGGTAAATCAAATAGTGTACCCCAAGTTTCCGGCGCGCCTCCCGATTCCGACAATTATGTAATTTTATTATTGTAATGCTTTTTGTCAGTGTATTTTTGGGGGTCTGAAACGGACTAAATCAAATTTACGTTATTCCTTATGGGAACAAATTCGTTTGGTAAACAGCACTCTAACAACCTCTGGAACGATTTATGGCCGAAACTCTGGGTTCCACTGTACTGTACTTGTATAAGAAGTGAAAAGCTTTTTCAGGAAATGAAGGGGTGCCTTATGGGCTCTTGCTTCAAGAGCTGGGGCAACACTTCCCTCCCTTCTCCCAATTTTCTCCTATTCCTTAAGCACTGTATGATTCCTAGTAACCCCCATGAATGAAGAAATTCCAAGGCAACACTTAATAATTAATGGCTATAATAATAACTAAATTTTAAAGGGGGGTGGACTGTAGCAATAAGAAAACATAAGAATGTAGGAACACTGCAGAAGGCCTACTGGCCCATACGAGGCAGTCCTTATCAAAACGACTTACCTAAAGGTACCCAAGAAATAATCCCGTACCCCATGACACCAATCAAACCCAGCCCCTCCACTCATATATTTATCCAATCGTCTTCTTAAGCCTCAGTCAGCCTGACTAAAATGCTCCAGCTGTGGTCATCATATGCTAAGACCCGCATCAGGAACACTTGTCACTGTTTCCCCCGACATACCTTACCTAGCAACATTTGAGTGAGCTTTGAAAGCTCCAACAGATTTCAGTGCTGGAGGCGTATAGCATAACATGTACCTAACTCTCCAAGAGAAAATTTTAATTCATAAACGGACCATACAGTACCGTCCGAGTTGAATGAATGACTCTCTAACAACACCTGCTTTTTATTTTCTTACGGAGACAGTGGAAGATGGGGGTAATCAGTTTCGCCAGCATGATAAGTGTTCAGGTCCCTTAACCTATGAAAAAATCAAGGCTAAGGGATTGATTACCTGGTCTTATTCCACTGCCTTCAATAATAATCTAATGCTGAATAAAGAAGCTACTGGTCTGCAAATGTCCTTCATAAATTACCCACGTGTTGTATACATCTATAAATATAAGTATGTATAAAATGAATTAAAAGAAAAAACGAGGTGATATGTTACTTATACATACCCAGAACCTAACCTGACCTGCTGTATAATAGGGTCCCTTCTGTACAAGTTCATTGCAGCATTTTTGATATTTAGGTGCTGTGTATAATTTTGTGACAGAACAACCTTTTACAAATCAAAATAAGAAAATAGATTTTCAAAATTTATTGGCAGTTTATCCTGTGAAATACAGTGCAATTTTTTCTTTTATTTTCCCTCAGGAGTCCTGACGTCATTTTCACCGTAGTGGGCCACAAATGCTTGGAGTGTGGGTCATACAATAAACTGTGAGAAGTAAGGTGGTCTTTCCTCCGCAAGCAAGTAAGTCTCCAGAACTTGAAGCGATTGCATTCCTGATTCAACTCATAAAGTCATAATATAACCCTGAACTGTGTTTTTAATATTTAATCATGGCCCCTTCTTCTCCCCACCAAGGCAGGGTGAGCTGAAAAAGAAACTTCATATCGTTCACATTATCACTGTCCTGCCAAGGCATGTAGATTTGACAGTTTGGAGTTCACTTTTAAACAGCAAATGTCCCCCTTCCCCCCCTTAGAGTGCCCAGCACTGTACTTCCCACTCCAGAACTTGAGTCCGGCCTAACTGGTTTCCTCCCTGAATCCCTCCATGAATCTCACACTTCCTGGCAATTTATGGTTAAAATGCTTACTATAATAATATCTTCACATCTTTCAGTGTCTAAACCCGAGCGGAGTGAGGATCCAAAGGAGCCCAGCTCCATGCAATGGGGAGCAGAAGGATTCAGGGCCATGAAAAGTGACAAGCTGAACACTAAAGTCATGCATTCCATCTGCGGATTTTGCTAAGACCACAAATTGACGGGAAACTTTAGAATAGGTTTTCATTGTGTCCTGGACCAGTGTTTAGTTGCGACTTAACCATGTTTTAGTCCATCTTCGACCATTACTAATGTTTCCTCTCTAAGGTGTTGGTAATAGTAAACTTATTTTAGCCGCTGTACTACTATGACTTCTACACTAAATGGTTATCACGAATATAGGGCCATTTTTCCCAGCCTTTTGTAAGTAAGGAGAAAATGGCGAGTTTTACTTGCAAACTTAAACAGCCCGTATAAAAAGCGATTCGTTTATGATGGTTTAAGCCATCTAATGTAACATAAATGTAGTTTTTAATTTGTACTCCAAATTGAAGTTGATGTACATGTACGGTGATATCTGAACCGACCGAACATGTCACAAACTGTCATAATTTGACTTTTTATGTGGTAAATTAGCCATTTTTTTTAAGACAAATTAAATTTTTAATTAAGTTCCTGCTTGTTATGAATTCTAGATACTGTCCCTCTATAAGGCTTTTTTGACCTGTTAA